GAGTAGGGAGTATCAATCAGTCCTGACTGCAGGAGAGACTGAGTCATTGAATAGTAATCTAATTTGCTGCAAGATAGGTCATGCTGCACCCCAATGTTCACAGTGGCACTATTTACAATAGCCAAGAAATGGAAGCAGCCTAACACTTAGGCTGCTTACATTTCTTGGCTATTGTAAATAGTATGTATGTGTGTGTGTGTATACATACACACACACACACACAAAATGGAATATTACTCCGCCATAAAAGAATGAAATATTGCCATTTGAAGCAACATGAATGGACCTAGAGATTATCATACTAACTGAAGTAAGTCAGAGAAAGATAAATATTATATGATATCACTTATATGTGGAAACTAAAAAATAAAACATATGAACTTATTTACAAAACAGAAACTGATCCACAGACATAGAAAATAAACTTATGGTTATCAAAGGAGAAGTGGGGAGGGATAAATTAGGAGTATGGGATTAACAGATGCACACTACCATATATAAAATAAATAAACAACAGGGATTTACTGTATAGCACAGGGAACTATATTCTGTATCATATCCTCTCCCCTTTCTTCTTTCTCTTTCTTTTTCTCTCTCTCCCTCTCTGTTTTTCTTAACAGGTAAGGAAACTAAGGCTCAGAGAGGTCAAATACAATAACTTCTCCAAGCTTATACTGCTAGTAAATGACAGAGCTGGAATCCAACCAAGTTGGAGTCAACTTTACACATGCCATATACACAAGGCCAAGAGGTTTGGACTTTCTCTGAAGGTGATGCAATGCCACTGAAAACTCTTGAGCAAGAAAGGTACATGGTGGTTAATAAACTTTCCTCCAGTAGCAGTGTGCTGAGCACGTGGGAGGGGGAGAAAGGAGGGGGCCCCTACAGTAGTCACAAAACTTCAGGCCAGAATTGAAAAGGGGCTGGGCTGGGGTAGTGTCAAAAAGAAAAAAACAAAAAAAAACAGTAAATGTAAAAATCAAATAGACAGAAGTGAGAGACAAGTTGAAGAACATTTTAAAAATGCTTTTTTCTTTGTTCAGTGTTGAAATAAAAATTCATGTGTGTTGCAAAAAGAAAAAATCAAACAAAAAATTCACACAGGGGAGACAGAAGTGTTTAAAGTTCTCTTCTCTTCCTGTCTCCTGAGATAAGCTCCATTAAGAGTTTGTGGGGCCTTCACTGGTGGTCCAGTGGCTAAGACTCCATACTCCTGGGTTCGATCCCTGGTCAGGGAACTAGATTCCCATATGCCACAACTAAGAGTTCACGTGTCGCAACTAAAGATCCCACGCGCCACAACTAAGACCTGATGCAGCCAAATAAATAAATATTAAAAAAAAAAAGTTTGTGGTAAATCCTTCCTGAACTTTGTCTAAAACTATATAATACATTTACATATACCCATTTTTAAGTGTGTTTTTAAAATGTGTTCTCACCAAACTTTTGTTTTGTCTCTTGCTTTTTCTCACATAATAGTATGGCAAGGCCAGCTTTCCATGTCCAGAAATTAAATGATCCTCATCACTTTTAACAGCTTTGCCACTTACTAGCTGTGTGAGTTTGAACACATGGTTTAACCTCTCTGAAACTTGGTGTGCTTAATTTGTAGATGGGGATAAACATGTAACTGTCACATAGGGCTATTGTGAGGATTAAATGAGTTAACACACGTAAAGCATCTTGTATAGTGTCTGACACATACTAAGTGCTCTCCCTGTTAATAGCACCATGTTTAGCTGTACCATAACTTACTTAACCAGTTCTGTACCCATGGTCACTTAGTGTGCTATGTTGTTTACAAAGATGGCCACAATGACCCCCCCACCCCCACACGACTCTGCAATATGACTTTGATGTTTTTTCCATCAAGAGATGGAGTCTATTTCTAGTCTCCTTGAATCTGAGCTGGTCATGTGACAGGCTTTGATCAATAAAAGGCAGTGAAAGTGATGCTACAGCTCTTCTGAGCCTAGGCCTCAAGAGGCCTTGCTGCTTTTGTTCTTTTCCTTTCAGACGCCATCATGAGGAAGCCTGAGCTAGCTTGCTGAAGAAGCCACAGGGAGAAGAACCTAGGCACTCAAGCCAGCAGGCCCAGCCACCTGCCAGACCTGTGAATGAGGCCATATAGGACCAGTGAGCTTGCCGACCTGCTAACTGACTGCAGATACAGAAGTAAGCCTGGGCAAGACCATGTACAGCAGAAAAGAGCTGTGTCTCAGCTGAGACATGTCCAAGTTGCCAATCCACACAAAATAACCAAAAATTTATTGTCGTGTTAAACCACTCTGTTTTGGGGTGATTTGTTGAGCACCAATAGAAAGCTGATATGCTGAGGCTCTTCTTACACAGTGCCTATGGCCCTGGTTGGAATGCAAGCTCCATCTCTTGTATGTGACCTTGGGCATGTCCTGTAATCTGACCGAACCTCAGTTTCCTGGTCTGTACAGTGGGATACTTTTAGTTTCTACCTCATCCGGCTGACGTGAGGATTAAATGAGATGATGAACATTCAATGTGTGGCACAGGACAAGTACTGTGAACATCTTAACTGTGGTTGTGGCTGTTGTTATTGTTGTTTGAAGGAAGTCTAGCCTGAGAGTTGTGCTATGGGGGTCAGGAAGTTAGTATTAAAGATAACTGAGCTGGTCTTTGGAGGCTCCATAACTAGTGAACACTGGAGACTGATAGCTTTTTGGAACCAGAGACCTATACCAGGCTAGCCTGAGAAATGGCAGGGGCTGGGTCTCAACTGTGTCCTACAAAGTGCAAAGGGTTGTATGTCTGTGCCTGGGTGAGCCCTCTGAATGATGGCAGGGATGGAGGATGGAATTGGGTAGAAGAATGAAGAACTGAGGCTGTAGGAGGGACCGAGATCATAGTAAAGATCATTCATTCTTTTCAGATGAAATTCCAGACTCCTAATCATGGCCTGAATGCCTTGGCCACCTCTCCCACCATATTTCCTACCCTTCTTCCCTTCACTCACAGTGCTTCAGCCACCCTGGCCTCCTTCCTCAAACTTAGCAAGCTCTTTCCTGCCTCAGGACCTTTGTTCTTACTGTTTTTTCTCAGAGGGACCTTCTGAACCACTCAAGCTAAAGTTCTCCCCTCTTTCATTCTTTTTCACAGCTACTTATATTTTTCCTTCACAGTACTTATTCATTTTTTTACCTGTGCATTATTTATCACTTTAGAAGGTGAATTTCATGAGAAACTGGTATCTGTCTTGCTCATGCCACATCCCCAGCGTCTAGCACACTGTCTGGCTCATGGCCAGTGATCAACAGCTGTGAATTGAATAAGTGTGAATAAAGATAAGGGAAAAGGAGCCATAAGAGCTGAAAAGACATTATCCAAAAGCTAAGTGAAGGCCTCATTTCCTGGAAGACGCCCTCACAGAAACCTTGGAATCACCTTGTCTAACCTTCTCAGTCCACAAGTGGGGAAACCAAGACCCATAATGGAGAAATAACCAGCCTGTGGGCACCCAGAGAGCCATTTCTGTGGACTCTCAGCCCATTGGGGTCAAATGCCACAGACCTGACAGATGAGGCTCAGAAAAGGTCATGGCCACCTCCCTGAGACCATCACTATATGTCTGTAGCTGCCACCACATCATCCCACAGGGGAGGAGATTGTCTCTTTGGGAGCAGAGGTGCCAGTCAGCTGGTGAACTGTGAAAGGAGGGCTGGAGAGAGTGGGGAGGCCCATCCTGGGTAGCAGCTATTCTGAGGCAGCTCAGGGATAAAAGCAGGTACCAAAATAACCCAACCTTCTAACACTTGTACCAGACCTCACACGTCTGCCCTACCAGAGGTGAGGCTAACACTTGAATTCCTCTCAGTAACACACACACACACACAAGCTTTTAGCAGGGCCTGCAGGGAACAGGGTGATCATCAGACTCAGCCCTGTCCACTGGGGGCTTACAGTCTGATGGAACAGGCAGGCTAGGGACCAGTCAGGTTGCTGAGGGATGGTGCCTAGGTCTGAGGGAACTAAAGGTAGGGAAGATCCCGAGAGAAAAGGATTAGCCCGATGGACATACAGAAGTTAGCCAGTCCAGGAGGTGACAGTAACAGATGTAACTGCCAGTGCAAAGAGAGGGAGGCTGACAAGTTCCAAGAATAGTCTGCAGTTTTAGTGGGTGGGAGCATCATGAAATTGAAATGAGAGGGGCAGAAGAGGCGGCTTGGGGGCGAAGGGAGTGTCCAAATTATGCAGGAACTTGGATGTCAAGAGAAGAGCTTGGGCTATCTTTGGTGCACAAAGGAAAGACTTGGGAGGCTTTAACCAAGAGGACGTCATGATCAGTTTTGCAAGACAGAAACTTCCCTATAGCTTGCCCTGGAGCCGTTGCCCAGGCAAGCGGGGTGGAGGGAGGCAGATCGAAGGGAGAAAACAGTTTATTCTGGATGGGCAGCTCTGCAAAGGGCTCCTGTAAAAGGCGTGAATTGGGTCTCAGTCTCTAGAGGGCTAGTACCGTCACTTCCTCGACTGCTGCGCCACACCACTCCCGGGGGCCAACTTTCGTTCACTTGTTCCGGAACTCGAAGTTTGAGCAGAAAAAAACGTGCTGCTGGAACCCCAAGCCTAGACGAGGGGCCTGAGCAGCAGACTTCAACTCCCAAAACGCTTCGCTCTCCAGCTCTGAAGGTCGCGCATGCTTCTTTCCAAATAAGGCGGGCCGGCTTGCCGACTGGTAGAACTCGCCAGCTGGGTGAAGTGCGGGAAACCTAGGGACCGCCATCTTACCTTGGGTCAAACCAATTATACACTCAGTGGGAGGTTCGTGTTCTCGCTCTCGTAAGTTCGTACAGGTACTGAAATAAAACGCGCTTAATTACTGCAAGTCTCCTTATCATGCTTTACGTTGAGAACTTGTTCCATTTTGCGCCCCAGTCCGGAACTGAACTCCTAGGGATACAATGACACATCCCAGCATGGCACCGCACTCTGCGAGATTCCGCTGGGGGAGGAGTCGGAAGCGGTCCCGCCCCGCCTCCCGGTCGGAGAGGGGTTTCCGCTTCCGGCAGCGGCGGCTGCAGCCTCGCTCTGGTCCCTGCGGCTGGCGGCCGAGCCGTGTGTCTCCTGCTCCGCCGCCGCCATATTGTCTGTGTGAAGAGTGGGGAGAGCGGCCTCCGCCGCTGCAGTTTCCACCACAGGTACCGTGGGAGCCATCAGGCGAGGTCGTTGGGGGGTGCGGGTGGGCCCAGGATGGGGCAGCGGGGCGCGGCCGCCTCTAACGCTTCCAGCAGACTCCCGAGCGGCCCTTCGCCTTCCCCTGCCCCCCCCCCCACACTAGCCGAGGCTCCTGCAGCCCATCGGGGAGGCCCTGGGCTACCCCCCAGGGCGGGGAGTGAGGCTTGGGGGCAGAGGCTGATAGGAGGGTGGGAACTGGCTCTCGAGAGTCCATCTTGTTGCGGGGGAGAGGGCTGGGCTGGGGCGGGGACTAGGGGGCAAGTTGGAGGAGGGGGTCGGCTGAGGGGGAAGCGAGCTGGAGGGGTGGGGCCGCCGGGGGGGATGCCTGGGGGAGGGTGCCTAGGGGAGTGGTGCCCGCAGTGTAGGCTGGGGTGGACCCTCCCGCGGAGCAGAGCAGCTGTAGTGGGGGCCTTCTAAGGTCCCTCTAGGCGAAATTGGGCTTCCCACCTGCACACTGGGGTGCAAGGTGAAGGGGACCCGGGGCGAGGTCGCTGAGGATAAAGGGGAAGGGACCATGAAGTGGGGCAGAACGGGTGGAGTTGGAGTTAAGGGTTAGTTGGGAGCCTGGATGGAAGAGGAGAGGTATGTAGAATGAAAGGTTGGCTAAGAGTGTGCATGTTAGTTTGTGACCTTTGAAGAGTAGGACTTTTGTTTTTGTTTTTCGGTTGTTTTTTATATTTTTGCAGCGTTGGAACATTTCTAACCTCGGCAGGTGATGGGTGGAGCTTATGTAGTTTGTTTTTGGGAAGGAAGGGTCAGGAGAAGTTGCTTCTTGGCTGTTGCTATTGTGGGAAGGAAAGAGTTCTGGAAAGGAGGTTCCAAATTAATTGAGGAAGACCTGATTACCTTTCAGCTGCTAAATTCTATTGAGAAGTGGGTGTGAGGAGAGGAAATGAAAAGAAAGCTAGAAAGGGAAGATTTTTCTAAGAGTTGGAAGACCCCATTCCATCTAAGAAGTGGCAGTAAATATCTGGATTATCAAATATAAGTGCCACTGTTATTTAGCTGTGTGACCTAACTTGTGTAAACCTCAGTTTTCCTATCTGTAAAATGGGGGTGATAATATTTCCTAGATGGTAAATTTATGGTGAGGAGTAAATAAGATAATTTGTGTCAAGTGCTTACCACAGTGCCTGGTAGGTAGTAAGTGCTCCATAGACCTTACCTGTCACTTTTATTAAAGGGACTAGCTGGTATATATGGGGTTCCTTCAGTCTAGGTAAAGTTTATGGTCAATAATCAGACAATAGGCAAGGCTTCAGAAAATTATATTTGTAGTTGTTGAGGTGTTTTTCTTTTGTTGTTAAGTCACTTGACTTAACTGGCTTGGTGGACCTTGAGCTGAAAGACCAGGACCAATACTAGTTCTGCCTCGTGTCGTTTTTAAAAGTTCACCAGCAGTTTTCCCGGGTAGTTGTATCCTACTGTGACTTTGAAATACTTGCCTTTCATTTGCTATTGGGGGAGGGTGTATGACTTGAAGAAAGAATGAAAATATTTGAAGTTTGCTTAGATTGGTTTATCAGCTGATTACAAAATTAGGTCACCCTGGGGTAACTTTTGTTTAAATGCAAAAACCAAACATGCCTAGTTGTATCCTGTTATATGGAATACAGTAGAGAAGAGGAGCACACATTTAAGAGGGAGCAATAGGTTAGTTTCTACCTAATGGGTTAATTGCCTAGCTGTTTGGGGATGAAACAAGTAGCTTCTTTTTTACAGTGTATTTTTGGTTCTATTGCTTAGCCACACTCTTCCAGGGTGAGAGTCCTTGATTTTACCATTGTCTCTGTCTCTGAACATATAGCTTTACTTCACATACTCTTTTGGAGAAAGGAGAAGTTTTCTTTGGTAACTAAGTTTAAAGCTTGACATAGGATTTGGGTTTGTAGTAGGCAGAATGACCACCACCACCACCCCCAAGATGTCCAAACTCTAATTCCCAGAATCTGTAAATATGTTACTTGGTAAAAGGGACTTTGCAGATGTAGTTAAATATCTTAAAATAGGAAGATCATCCTGGATTTAGTGGGTAGGCCCAATCTAATCACATGAGCCCTTAAAAGCAGAGAGCTTTCTCCAGCTGGGAGTCGAGAGAGATGGGGCAGAAGGGGAAATCAGAATCGAATCATGAGAGGGACTCCATTTGCTGTTGCTAGAGGGGGCCGCATGGAAAGCATGAGAAGGAATGCGGGGAGCCTCTAGTAGCAAAGACCAGCCCCGGCTGACAGCCAGCAAGGAAATGGAGACCTCAGTCCTACAACCACGAGGAACTGAATTTGGCCAACAACCTGAATGAGCTTGAAAGTGGATTCTTCCCCAGTTTCCAGCAAGGATAACACCTTGATTTTGGCCTTGTGAGACCCTAAGCAGAAGACCTAGCCAAGCCCACCCAACTTGTGAACTACAGAAACTGTGAGACAATAAATTTCTATTGTTTTAAAGCCACTACGTTTGTGGTTTTGTTATGGCAGCAGTAGAACACTAGTGTAGATTTTGGTACCAAGAGTGGGGTACTATTACCTAAAAATGTGAAAGCGGCAGTAGAAGAGGCCAGCAAATTTTTGAGGAGCATAATAGAAAAGACCTAGACCAGATCATTAGTGGGAGTAGTGAGGGCTGAGGTGGAAGTGAGGTGTGCGTTGGAAACTGGAGGAAAGAGGATCTTTGTTACATAGTGGCAAATAAGCTTAGAATTGTGACCTGTGGTCAGGTGGAAAAGAATACTTACAAGTGATGAACTTGGATATTTAGCTGAGATTTCCAAGCAAAGTATTGAAGGTACAGCTTGGTTTATTTGTGGGGTGTGAGTCTCAGTGAGCCCATATGAAGCCCACTAGGTTCTTGAGCGTTTTATACTAGCAAAAACAGTGCCAGCTTGGATTGAAAAACACAAAGTAGTAAATTAAAGAGAGCTCTCAACCCCCCCCAACCCCCACCCCCAGTTTTACTGGTAGGAAGCAGGCTGGTAAAAAAAAAACTACTTAGTTGTTAGTTGTGAATGTGCTCCTTTTCATTAAAAAAGAAGGACTCAGGGTGGAACCAAGAGCCCAAAGAGGTGGAGTCGAAGGCTGCAGAAGAGTTTACCCTGGCTTTGAAATGGAATGGAGTTTGCCCACATTTTGAAACTGCTTTGGACCCCCGATGGATCTGCTTTTTCTTATATTTTCCCTGCTTTCTTTTATATTTTCCCTGTTAGAACTAGAATGTCTATAAGTTGCCTTATGCCGGTCTCACCGTTGTATGTTGGGAACAGATAACTTTTTTTTTTTTTTGCGGTACGCGGCCCGGGC